AAATACAAACAAAAAAACAGTCATTATAATTAAAAGTTTTTCTTACAGGATATGCCACTTAATGTGAATGTTCTGTTACCTCATACCAAGAGCATGTTCATAAAAATGAGTTTATTCTAGAATCTCAGAGTACTTCCCTTGGATATCATCCTCATTCTGGCCTCACTTTTAGAGTCACATTAAGTTATACCTAAGATTTCTCCCACTGAATACTCAAATGACAGAGACTCTATGCTTAACCATCATGAAAAATGCACCTGCCTCTCACATCGGAACAGCCCAGACTCACCGTCACCCCAGACCAGACAGACCACCACAGAAAAAGCACGAGAGCAGGAGGAGACTAACGTCACCTCTCTGCCTGCTACAGAACCACCCTCTGTACACCTATTATTACCTGCATTGTGTGGGAGGGTGACCTGGGCTCAGGAAGAGATAGAGACTGAACACACCCGACGGCCATCATGCAGCCAACATGCGAGCCCAAGGCTGTGAGCCTCTCAGTTGCTTATTCTCTGTTGTACTATCCCTCCTTCCCACAAAACCCAGCTCTCCATGAGGTCCTTCAACTTGTCCCTCTGTCACATGATGGTCAGACCCCAGCAAGTTAAGTAAACAGGGCACATAAGGAGGCTGAAGTTCCTGTCCTAGCTAACCGACCTGCCATGTAATGAAGGCAAACTCACTCAAGCTACTGTACCTGTTTCCTTATCAAAAATACAGTGACAATAATCTCTGTTCCACTTCAAAAAAAAACAAAAAAACCTGTAAATCACCAAGCAAATGCTCAAAATGAATTCTGCTATTCTGATTATCAAAATGGATTATTTAATTAAGGTGGCTTGCCTGTGAACTCCACATGGTTTTCCCTGTATTACTTTGACTCCTCGGAACAGAGTCAGCAAACTATGGCACTCAAATCAAATTTGGCCCACTGGCTGTTTTGCAACATAGCTACGCCCATTCTCATACAAACTGTGGATGGCTACTTTTCTGACCAGGACAGAGCTCAACAGTGGGACATAAACTGCATGGCCTGCAAAGTCTAAAGTATTTACTCTCTGGCCCTTTACAGAAAAATTTTGCCAGGCCCCACCTTTAGTAACTAAAGAGACTAGTTAACAAGTTATCAGAGGCCAAAGAGAAGAGCTTACAAGTTACGATAAATTTTGGATTGTCCTCAAACTGTACTATTTTCCATATACATAACTTATGTGTCAAAGGATTTAACATATTATAAACAAACACACAAAGAGAAAAGCAAATTAGAAAACTACTTTTTTTTAGTAATAAAGTTATATTAAAGCAGTAAAGTCCGCAAAGATATCTGGTATGTCTAAAAATAAATTTTAAATTTTTCTGTTTTTCTGAAGAATCATAATCTATAAGTTTTACAAAATTACCATTCTTTAAAAAAAATTAAATCATGTCCCTCAGATTATCCAGCATTTGAATTAAAATGTAAAGACAGAAATAACTCAAGATGTAAATGAAATACTTCCCATAATTGCCAACGTGAAACGGTTCATTACTATGCCTTCTTTCTTTCTTTTTTTTTTTTAAATTAAACTCCTCTGCCAACCCTTTTGTGGCAGAGTTGAGAAATGGTTTTGAAATATTTTTGTAAATAATTTTTCTGCATTTTGAACAGGCTCCGTGTATTCTGTTCCTAAACATCTGCTTAAATGCCAGAGAGGAAAGTGTGTAGCGTGTTTTAACAAGCAGACTTCCTCTGTTTCTCAAAGTCTTTAAATATTTAGTTTCAAAATGAATACTCTATAAGCCAAAAATTTACCACCCATCCGATTACTCTGTCATTTCTACTGTAAGGATTTATGAAAAATGCAAGGGGGGGTGGGGGGAGCAGACATTGTTGGTGAGGATGGAGGAGGGAAAGCAAGCAATGAGAGTGAGGAAAACCATCAAGAAAAGCAAAAGTGAAGAAAGCCATTAAGTCCAATAAGAACCTGTTGGGAATTGTGTTTTCCTTTCCCTCCCTTGTCTATAACTCTCCAAAAACGCCAAATAATAATATTACTTATTACTCATGCAACATCGTAAGATTTTGGAGATGGACTGAATTTCAGAGGTCACTATATGGAAGCCATTTATTTTATGGATGAGGAAAGCTGAGGTCCAGAAATGTGAACTGTCACACCCTGTGGATTAGCTGGTAGTTAGTAGCAGGACCAGGACCGGAATCCCGTCTCCTGATCGTCAGTTCAACACACTTTCCCATTAGACTCGGCTCTCTGCCCTGCGAAGCGTAATGTGCCATTTGGCACCTACTAGCTGAATTCTTTTTTAAAAATATGCCCGAAGTACCCCTATCATAGCCAGGAAACTCACAATACCCTTTTAAATAGTATCTATGAGTGCATGTTTTTTCCAAGTACAGACTACCAAGAATACTGCTTCAGCCTCAGAAGGATTAGCAGTCACAATAAAGCAGAATAATCGAAGAGCTAATAAGGACCTCAGGCTGCTCCCTTGTATTCTGTCTTGATGAAAATCAGTTTGAAAGAGACACCCCCTTCTCCTAACCCCCAGACACACACTCCCAAGACTAAACAGCAATATTCCATAAAAAGCCCAGATCTAGCCAGTGTTATTATCTGTCTGACATTTGGGTTATTCTTGTGAGTAACTCATAAAGTAACGTGGGTGTCTGTGATTATTTGAGTACACATGGCAAACCATAATTGGTCAAAAAATAATAAAAGACATTTTTCCGTGACAAAAATACTGTATTGAATGACAACATGGCAGCGTGACAGCACTCAGTGGACCGCAATACTTTCTCCATTTACGAAAAAAGTAAAAAAGAAACAAAAAAAAATTTTTTTGAAAAGTAAAAAAGCCTTTTTTTGCAGCTGGTAACTAGCATAGCTATTTAAATTATGTATGAACTATTAAAAGGTTTTGAGCACTGACAGTAATCTACTAGCATATCTTCCCCCAAATCCATGTCATATTTCAATTTTTAATTCAGTCTTTTGATACAGAGCAGAAACGTGGCCAAAGATGCAAGTCCGTGTCCCCTTCTACAGCCAAAATACAGGATTTTGACAATTTTTAGAATATCTTTAGAACACGGCTATCTGTGAAGTAAAAATTTAAATGTAATCCCCACCATCCAAATTTTACAACATGAGTCAAATCTATCACACATTCTACGTATCACTGAGAAGATAAAACCTGAAGTTGATCAATGTAAGTTGTGGTTTAGGGTTCTTAATCTAAAACCATTCCCTTCCGTCAACTGATACCTCACCATCACCACACAGCTGCATAAATGATAAGCAATAAAAGGTAATATCCTAGTTGCCATTTCTCTAAGAAACCAATAATCAGGGTAAAAACTATTCCAAAAGTAATTAAAAAGATCTCGTGAAAAAAGCATATTTGTACTCATAGACAGAAACCCATTCAAGCAGAGCGCTGTGTGAGTGGAGGGTTGGTGTGGGGGGGAGAGGTGTCTAAATGCCACAGTCTCATAAAACTATTTGGTAAGGACAGTTAGGGACCATGGAGGAACTCACCCACTCGGAAGTTCGTGGCCGTCAGGGTGTCGGCAGCATGACCATTCTCACTAATGAGAGTGGTGGTGTTCCCCTTCTCACAGCTGTTCTGACAGCTGCCCTTGGTGCAGGTCACTTTACAGATGCTCGGAGTAAAGACCACCTTGATGCGGCCAGTGTGGTTACTCACTAGGAGCGGAGGCAGGGAGAAAAAGAACAACAAACACATCAGCTTAGTATCCATGAACTTGCCTTAGAAAGTTTAAAAAAAAAAAAAAAAGAAAAAAAGAAAGGAAAGGAGCAAAAGGGGTAAAGAGAGAGCCCACAACCCGACAGGTTTAAGGAAAGAGGGAAGCCTTTAGTGCTCGCTGCTCTGTATCCAGTGGTGTCTCTGAAACAGGAGTAGGAAGCTTAGCAAACAGAACTCTGGGATGCACTCCAAAACCACATTTGAAGTCGAGTCACTGGAGTGGGATTACTAACCACAATGCTGCACTTTATTCACGGCAGACAAAGAGCAGTACCGAGGGCACGACAGATGAAAGAGCCAACCCTGACAGGCAGATGTAATGCAAAGAGGTTGGCCCTGCACCTAGTGGTGAATAAACTCTTGTGTCCTGGCCGTGCATACTTTCCCTGTTTCTCCACTTATGAAGTCACTATTTGCAGCCCGACCCCTGGAAATGTTTTAGGCATGCGGCATGTCTGAAAACATCTGTCTCAAATCTCCTGGCACTCTCAGCTGAAGTGATCAAATCCTGTGACGCAGCCGCAGGAGCCCATTTCTTTTTCACAACTCTGGGGCATTATTGCTCCACGTAAATGTACGCAACATATATTCTGCTTTCCTGTGAACAGGGTCCCTCTAAGAAAGAGTGAGGCCAGGTCACAGAGCTACATGGTTGCCTCCGTTCAAATACCATCCTGGAAGCTCTCACCGCTGCCATATTCCCAGGCCACCTAAGGCAGGTACTTCTTTCATTCCCGTGGTCCTCTCTCACTCAAATGCCGTAATTTGACTACATAGCAGAAGCAGCACAGTGTCACAAAATGGGCACACATCTAAAGGTCAGATTCTGGGCTGGAATTCTGGCTCAACCATGCTGTGACTTTGGACATGTCATTTCACCTTTTCTCTAAAACATGAGGGAACTGGAACTGAAGTTTTCTAGCCAGTTCTAACTTTAATGTCTATATCAGGGGTCGGCAAACTATGGCCCCTGGATCAAATCTGACCCACTAACTGCTTTTATAAATAAAGTGTGATTGGAACACAGCCATGCTCGTCCATTTACATATTACCTAAGGTTGCTTTTGTGCTATAAAAGCCAAAGAGAATGTGTGGCCTCGCCCAGAACTGCTGTTCACAGCCAAGTACCAATATAAACTCTCAGGCAAAGCAGACTACAGAAACCCTATTTTGACCTCTGCATCTGTGATCTGCCCCCAGCCAGGTCGTTCCTCTTTCCAGGAGCATATGCAGAAAGCAAAGATGGTAGCAGCAGATGGTTCGTCTCTGAGGCTTTAAGGCTGGTGGAAAGCAGTGCCCTTCCTGCTGCCACCGTGTTGCTGCAGTAGCCAATGGGGAGACTGGCTCTGGGCCAGCCTTTCCTCTGCCATCTCCTGCCTGCCAGAAGCAATTCCCCCCACACTGCTTTGATTTGACCAGGATATTTTTCAGAAAACCATCCAGGAGGCCTCTATAGGACCTCAACAGAATCAACTGTGGTCCAAATCTGAGCTTGGAAACAAAACCTTAACCAAATAAGATATTAGAATGTCAGGCTGGAATGAGCCCGTAAAGGTCCTCTGACACAACCCTTATTTAAAGCTTTCTAGTGACAGGGAGCTCATTAGCCACTAAGAACACATTCTAGTGATGGGCAGTTCCTAACAAGCACTCTTCCTTCATGAGCTGAAGACGTCCTCACAGTCAGCTGCACCCCTTAATCCTAATTCAGCTCCCACATTGTAATGCCTCTTCCACACGATAGCCTTTCCACTGCTCAAAGAGAACTGCCTTATAAACAAAGAAAGCTGACTGACTTTAAAAGGGACTTGAAGAGCTCAGCTTGGGTTGGCCCTTTCACTTCACAGAAGAAAACAATTCCTCTGGAGGAAAAATATCCTCACAGTGCTTTTCCAATGTTTTTCCAAGACCATTCCTCATTCGCCAGTGGTTCTAACACAGGAGATCAGGACACACAATCTGAGGTGCGGAGATATCCTAGAGGCCAACCAGATCTTCCAGCATCTTACAAAACGGCATCCAGAAACTTTTCCATTAAGGGCCAAACAGTAAATATTTTAGGGCTTTAGGCCAAAAAGTCTCTGTTGCAACTATTCAACTTTGTTATGGCAGCAGGAAAGCAGCCTGTCAAAAATAAGATGTAAATAAATGGGTGTAGTTGTGTTCCAATAAAACTTTATTTAAAGAAACAGTTTGCCGACCACTGCTTTAAATGCTTACACGGCATTAAAATTTTTTCTTAAGCCTGTATCTCAGAAATTTTTAAAACTACAACAGAATTCTGATTTCATGATCAGACAAAATTCACCCAGTTTGATTTTTTTACAGTAGCACACAAAAAAACAGCCTACATTCTAAGTTGTCAAACCATGCTTACAATACCTTGCAAATACCTGTGTACGTGTGTGAAGCCCAAGAAAAAAAAGAGACAACATCGTCCTACTTCAAAAGAACATAAACGTATATTGTTTCTGGCTCTCGGTACCATAATGAAATTAGAAATGGTGTGCCAACTATTTTGTCTTCTCTGGCATGAACTCGCAGCACCAGCAGCTGCCATGCAGAGGCTCATACCATCACCTAAATTATGCTCACTTAGGCGAACGCAGAGATCCAAAAAAAGCAAGCACTTAATCATTATTCCCATATCCCCTCCCAGCTACAGTAGTCACTTTATAGGCACTTGAGAATCTTCAGACCTATTGTTTTAAAAAACTTATTCTATTTCTTTGCCCAAAAAAAAAAAATGGCTTAGAATCATGTGGATTTTCAAAAAGGCAGAGATAGTTTCACATGACTTCATTCTGATTTTTACAATGTTCACATCTTCTTGGAAGCAGAAGATACATTTTATTTCCTATTTCCCCTTGTGTTTTACAAGAATTCTAGTGTAAAGTAATCTAATTCTAAAACAGACACTTGTATTCTCAGCGGGTCCACTTGTGTCTTCACGCAGCATTTATTTCTTCATTATAACTAGCTTTAGTTTCTCCCGTCAATCTCCAAACCACTACTGAAAAACTCACAACTGTTTGACACTAGATTGTCATTCACAGCTCTAACAGGAGCGCCACAAGCATTAAATGGATCAGAAAATACACTGTCCTGTCCCCACTCCTTTAAAATCATTTCCACATACCTAGGGTGTCGTGTAAAGAGTTTAAGTTTTAATGTACTCCAAACGAGGGTGCACGGCTCTGAGGTTCCAATTCTCACATGTGACAAGCTGAAGACAATACCATTCATCTCTGTAGGGTTCAGTGGGAATTTGGTAACAGTGGCCTTTCCTACAGAGGCCATTTGGTCTTTGAAGAGGTATCTTCCTCAAATACCTCGAATAAATTAATACTCAAGGACCCCTGGTGCCTTCCATAGAGTAGGTGCCAAATAAATGTGGAATGAATGAACGGACCCAAAGGATGACTAGATCCCCCCCGAGACTGGGGACTCACCGGATGCTCGAGTCATCATGGTCTAAGGCCTTGCTTCACCAGTGAGGAAGGAAAGCGAAGCCCACGGTCAAATCAGTGGTAGACTGTCCCTAGGGACGCCTATTGGCTGATCAAGAATTACAATCTGAGAAGCAAACGTCAGGCCATTCAGGAGTTAACAGGGAAAGTGTTGGCACAGCTTTCAACATGCTTGGTCCCTCTGATGAAACAATGTAATTTTTAGATCCCTGTAGGTAAATCAGTCCCAGAATTCTGAAGCAAGCACTTTCAAACCTTGGGTTTTAGAGGCTTGGCGAGAAACATAGATTGCCTGGAGCTGTGTAGCACCTCCACTGGGCCTCCTAGTCAGTCAGTCAGTCAAGACACTCAAGAGTCAACATCCTGTCTGCAGCTTCTGCCAGACCCTGTGTGAATTTATACCTCCAAGAAGAGGCCCTGGCACATGGCTTAAAACAAACCACAGACATTCAGGGTGAATGGCAACGGGAATGGAAGCAAAGCCGATACCCTCTCCCTATAAAAAGCTTTCAGTTCTGCTTTCCAATCATTGATGACAGAGAGAAATTCAAAAATGTGAAAATGGTTCTTGACAAATGGACTTCAGGCTAGAAAAAGAGCACAGCTGCCATCTTTTAGTCATTAGACTAGGATGTGACCAAAAGCAAAGGCAGCCAAAGAAATAAATATAACAAGTTCAAGACTCACATCAGATGTCATGAACAAACACAGTCTCCCCCTGCATTCACCCAGAATGCTCCGACAGCACATCAGCACGCATCCAACTTAAACAGCAGGGACCCACTAGCACAGGCAATATCCTCTGGGAAGGAGAAGCAACCTCTCTGTGGTGAAGCCATCACCCTGCCCATTAACTGAGGCCTGCTTAAGGAGACCTCGGAACTGATTCAGTACCCAGGTCACCTGCAAGAGAAACTGAGCTAATAGCTCATTCTTTCACTTGCAGCCCATTGCTCGCCCGAAGGCCAAGAATTCTTTGAAGGACAAATCATAAAAGTACTAAGTAATGCTTAGAATAACAAGACTTGATTGTTCAGCTCTCCAGGCTTGCGTAAGTCCTCCTGGACTATTAAAATAATGCCCATAGAATACTCTGTGTTCCTAGAGAATGGTACTATGTTAGTAGAAATTAACATCAAACCTGTTACCTCATCAGGTTGCTCCAGTCCTGGAAAGCCCTCCAAGAGGGAACCTCGAATGAGATTTCTAGTTCTGATGTGGGTATGTCCTTAGATAAGAATCTAGAGTTACATTCCAGTACTGTCTTGAGTTTTTCTAGGCAGCAATAACTAAATGAAGAGGCAGGGAGATAAATAGTTGCTATACCAGTTATGTAAGTTAAAACATCTGAGTTTTCTCCTCCTTTCAATTCTCCCTTAATATTCACTGAGGGAAACTATGTCAGTTACTCATCTCTCTCTTACACATACGTATATGATTTCCTTCCATTTTTACACATATAAGAAGGC